AATCGATTATTCCGATTTTCTGTCAAAAAATCGATTTTAATGGATTTTCCCAGCAAAAAATCGATATTAATCGATTATTATTTAGAATTTAATCAAAAATTGGTACTTTCAATCGATTTTTTATGATTTGTTTTGAAAATCGATTTTAATCAGATTTTTCGCGTTTTTTTAACATGGGATGACAAATCAAACAATACTATTAATTTTGAAATATATTATAGCATAAGAAAACGCAGAATGAAAATGTTCTCCCGATTTTTGTTTAGAGTGTGAGTCACAGAAGCTGGCTTACCAAATGATAAAGATGGATTATAGATGGTTGTTAGTCTGAATACTAAATTCTATTCTTATTTCTCTACATTAATGAAAAAAACTACAGCTGGAAAAAGTAATAGATTTTAATCGATTATATATGTTCCTAATCGATTTTAATTGATTATTTACGTTCCTAATCGATTTTAACTGATTAGAAGATGTAATTGCACAATCTCAATCAAAACAATTTAAATACCAGGTCCAAATTTACTACGTTTGTAGAACTGAAGCCCTATGATAATTTCGAGATGAGCACTCGAAAAAAATCATTAAAAAATAGGGTTCCATGTTCGAATCTCGAGAAAAGCGCTTATTTTCGATGCTAATGATAAAATCGATTAAAATTTAAACATCCATTAAAATCGATTATCCAACACAAATCAATTAAAACAAGATAGAAGGTAAGAATATATTAAAATCAGATACAAGATAAGAATCGGTTAAAATCAGATGTCAAGTAAGAATCGATTAAAATTGGATGCCATGTCGGAATTGATACAAATCCATTAGGAATTAATAATCGATGAAAATCGATTCGAACATATCGATGCAAAAAAATCCCGGAAAAAATCAGATTTTAATCGATTTTTTTCTGATTAAAAATCGATTTAAATGGCACGATTTTAATCAAATTTTAATCAGATTTTCAATCCAAAAAATCAATTTTAATCGATTTTTTTCGACCGAAACCATGCCATATAAATCGATTTTTAATCAGAAAAAAATCGATTAAAATCTGATTTTTCCCGGGTTTTTTTTTACATGGGTGACAACGAAAATGCTGGAAGATTAACTTACTGAACTCATTATGAATTTTCGTCTCTTCTTGGCATTTATTCAGTCTCTTAGTTTTCTCCTCGTCGTGAATCTGAGCAACTTTTGCTAATAATTTTTGAAATCGGTTCGCGTGCAAATTGTTCAATCACAATAGGTTTGATGTACTTTTTAAGTGATCAGTAAGTTATAGATGGTCGACGATTTCAATGCAAAGATGATAAAGTATCGAGGGCAAAAGAATGGCTTCTGTCCACCGGGAATGATTGATAACTTCTGGATGGGATGCACTGAACAGTTAAATGAAGGTAGCCAACGATACCAGAAGATAATGAATAAAATCTCGTCAGAATGATCTCCGATTTGATATTCGAAGATCTTTTTAGGAGACTGAACATAAATATTCGTTTATTAAACTAAGTATAATATCGAATCAATTTGAGTTGACAAAGATCGATTTCTAGCGTGTAGTGAAGAGACTTGACTATTACTGATGTTTTGAAGCGCGCCGTTTCTCGAGGAATAAGTCCTGTTGATTTATTTTTCAACCATCATTCCGTGATACAGTCGATAGGATCAGAAACGAGAGGGATAAATGCGAGATTTCTTTTTACCAAAACAATTTCCAAGTACTCAACAAACACATAAGCATTGTGAAGCATTTACAACAATAAACCATATTAATGAAAAAAAAAATCAGCTGATCTTCAGCTAGTTTAATCATAATCAACAAACGATTGAACAAGAAAACTACATAATCCTGCATTTGATATATTGTACTTCGGTTATCTCTACATTATTGTAATGTTGTGCAAATTGTGCAGTGATAATCAGCACGACATTTGCTCTTCTTTCTTATTACTCCATTAAGTGATATACTTCTTCATAAGCTAGAAAACAAGCAGCATTGATCGGTATCGCTTTTGAGATTCCTCTAAGAAAACCACGATAAAATGTGCGTACGCTATTTTGATGTTGATACATTTGTTTGACACAATCGATATACGATGTATATTTACGACGTTCGCGTCTCAAATCATCTGATTGAATTTCAGATCGAATCCGATTCAATGGATAACAAATTGACCAGGCACAAAGGCCACCTACTGCTCCACTTAACAAAATACCCATACGTAAATGTTTATCTTTCTTTGTGGAGCCAAAGATTCGAGCATGTGTTTGGTAAAGATGATTTTTCACATATTCATAACCGCCAAAATAAAACATCGACGTAGGTATTGAAAAAATGAGAGTCGCGAAGAATCCTTTATAAAAACCACGCAAACCGCCATTACATTCATAAATATATTTACAACAATCTTTTACGTGAAAATCGAATGCGTGTGTATGGCGAAGATACAAATGTCCTTCAATTTGTCCATTAACAAGGCCAATAGGTGTTTCGATGAACGATGATCCGAAACCAGTGAGAGCACCGGCCAGAAAACATTTTCCAATTGTACGCTCACTATCATTCTGCCAGTTATGAAGATGTCGACTTATTTGCCCATATAATAAAAACTGTGTCGACATAACCAATGCTGGACTGATCAACGGTAAACTTAAATTACTTCGATAGAATCCATTGATCAAACCTTGATTTTTGTAAATAGATAGAATAGAATATAATAGATTTTTATTAGAGTCAAGTAAATTGTTTTTTAGGTGAATAAACAATGTTTCCAAAGGATGTGAAATGATAGCAGCTGTTACACCACAAACACCACCAGCAATTACATCTTTCATTATGGGACTCGAAATTAAGGACATATTTCACGTTCGTAGATTTATCGGTACTTCTTCAGATCAACAACAGCCTCACTTGATTAGTAAGTGATCTCGTGATATAAAACATGACGAGAAATGGCAATCATCTACATTTATTTTTTAGTTTAATGAAACTCAAAATGATTGGATGAAATTTTCACAAAAAATCAAGTTAATTTTTCAGACTTCAAATGTCTTGGGTTTAGTTTTTGATGAAAGACCTTTCCGGAGATATGAATAAAATTTTGTTGTAGATGGCGGTAGTTTT